GGACAGTCCCGATTTTTGAGTCTTTTTCTTGTATAGGCTCCTATTACCCCCCACCCCCGTCCCGATTTTTCACATTTGCTGTCTGGTCACCCTACAGGGGGCAGTTAGGGGACAGGGAAGTGGGGTGGATGGGGCAGGGGTCCCAGGGGGCCATCAGGAATGAGAGGAGGGGTTGGATGGGGCGGCAGGGGGCTAGGGTGACCAGATGTCCCGATTTTATAGGGACAGTCCCGATTTTTGAGTCTTTTTCTTGTATAGGCTCCTATTACCCCCCACCCCCGTCCCGATTTTTCACATTTGCTGTCTGGTCACCCTACAGGGGGCAGTTAGGGGACAGGGAAGTGGGGTGGATGGGGCAGGGGTCCCGGGCGAGGGAACGTCAAGACCTTTAGGTAGGGTTAGCATGCATCCGCATACATTATGCAATGTATGCAATATATAATTTTGTTCTTATTTATATAGTTATGAAAAGTAAATAATACACGGAAGAAAGGAAAGGTGTTTTTTTACGTTGTTTTTTTTTTAAAGTCATCCCTGTTCGGGCCCTGCCAAAAATGTTCGAATTGGGCCCCACACTTCCTAAAGCCGGCCCTGGTGAGAAGAAGGTTTATGTCTGTCTTGCTCCAGACTATGATGCATTGGATGTAGCCGACAAGATTGGAATAATCTAAAGTGCATCCACCAAGAGCTGGGCACATGAGATAATAAACTTTGTAAAACCAAAAAAACGGGTTTCAGAGTGGTAGCTGTGTTAGTCTGTATCAGCAAAAACAACGAGGAGTTCTTGTTATAGTCCTCGTGGGTTTTAGCCCATGAAAGCTTATGCCCAAATAAATTTGTTAGTCTCTAAGGTGCCACAAGGACTCCTTGTTGTTTTTCCTGCTAACTGGGGCGCTCTCTCTGGTCTCGCTCTGTCATTGCTGGCCCCTGTTCTGACCGGGCGGGGACGGGGCAGGCACTGCTTGCCCACTCACTGGGTGTCTCAGTGCTGGGGCTGTTTCCTGCCCAGCCCGTTGCCTTGTCCATTCTTGACATGTGGTCTTTGCTCTGGCCACTCTGCCCTGCTCTGTTCTTGGCCTGACCCAGTGACGGTGGTGCTGGGCTTTGCCGGGGGTCCTCATGATGGAGCGCCTCACTGGGGTCCCCATGCAGGTTGGGGGGCCACTGGCCGGGGGGCCTGGAGACTAGGGTTACCATATTTTGTGCCTCCCAAAGGAGGACACTCCACGGGGCCCCAGCCCCGCCCCTGCCCCAACTCCGCCCCCTCCCCAAAGTCTCCGCCCCCTCCCCTGCTTCCCGC